TGCCAATCTTGTTCAAACTTCTCCACCACGTTTCAATGAGGTACCTGTAATAGTTATTACTTATTATATTTATTTATGTAATTTATTATATTATACCTTGGAAGTAATTCTGGAATTGTACCACACATTACAATTTTAAGCCTCAATGGGCGCCTCAAACTTTCTATTCTTTGAGTAGGTACCTGAGCTTACAAATATCAGGAAATACACCTTCAGACAATGATTTATTATAAATGAGAAATAGTGGAAAACACAAAACAGACCTAAGGTTGTAAATAAAAAAACCTGAGAGCCCACCTGGACCGACCGATTTTGTAAGATGTATATCTCAATGTGACTACTATGAAATTTCTATGARACATATTTTGCACACAGGGGTTAGGTTAGGTTATTATGTGTTATGTCTGTGGTTTTTGATAATGAGTAAAAATAGCAGTGATAATGTGATTTAATACGCTATAAGAATGAAGCGTGACAAAACAAATTTTTTTATTTTTTTTTCATAGGAATAAGAATATATTTGTAATTCTTATTAATTCTCCTAACGGGATTGATTATTGTCAAATGTCAACATCTCATTCAGTTTCAAATCATATTGAGTTATGTAATAATATAATAATGAACGTCATTTGTTTTTTAATATGACATAGTAGGTAACACTAATTAGTTACCTGCACCTTACAAGAATCAATGAGAATCCTATTTACCCGTGTGTCGCGAGTGTTACTTTTGTGCTGGGTAAATATTTTTGCATTTCAACTTTCAAGTAGGTATATTGTATGTTAACCTATAACCATATAGTATATACATAGTATTAATATATAATCTAAGATACCTGTCATACTCTATGGCAAAAATGTTTAAAAAAATATTATAGTTGTTGTTTTTATTGCACACCGTTGTAGTTCATTGTATATATACCTACTTATATATAGTGTACACAGTAATTATTGTAAACCGAGATATTTTATAAGCTAATAATTATTATTATTATGGTTTCTCATTGTCATCCAAGAATATTTTGTAGATTCTAGTATTTTCTTTAGATTAGTGGGTTTCAGCGTTCAGAGTTTATGAAAAGGTTGTATTATGATTTTTGTCAATTAATATGTTTTGTAAGTTATGTTAGTAGTTACTACTTACTCTTACTTAGGGCCAGTTGTACCATCTCTGATTAAGCGTAATCGAAGTTTAACCGTAGACGGTACAACTGGCCCTTACTAGTAACTATATAGTCATCTAGCTGTTATATAATTATTTTTTATCTATATCTATTTTATATATTTACTATCATTATTATGCCTAAGGTGACCAGATATAAAAATCCAAAAAAAGTACATTTTAAAACTTAGGTCCTCCTCTATCATAATTAACCAATGTGTGTACTTTTCTACTCATTTTTCCCATACCATAGCTATTAGCGGCCATAGGTCATCTCCATTTATATAATTTGTTTTTTTATCTAATTACTCTATTATGCTTTTCCTATAATCAACAATTAAAACTTATTATTTGAAATTATGTCTACTCATTTTGTGTGTGTCTAAGATGATAATACTTTAAATTTAAGATTTTTTAAGTAAACTTAAACTAAAGTATAAATTATTTTAAAGGTAAAAATACCAAGTGTAAAATTATCTTCAGTTATGTTAGTTATTTGGTTATGTCCATTGTTGTAACGTTTATATTTTTAAAAAAAAGAGTACAATTTCATGTACTTTAAACTATTGTCAAGGACACTAGGACACACATCAAAAGAAGAGTACTGACCTGCGAAAAAGAGTACGTCTGGTCATCATAATTATGCCGATGCCCAATTTGATATTATTATTTAGGTTCCTAGGTAACAATAAAAATGAAACTTAACGATTCGCTAAATAAATTTACCATAATATATCATGATCTAAGTTATAAGTAACATAAGATTCATAAGCTCATTATTTTCCAATKACAATATGGGTGTTCCATTATGCACTTATTTCATACATCAATACTTCTCAAAAAGCCTAGTTTTATTTTTTAATTATGTGTTTTTTATAGAAGTTATTAGTATTGATATATATTAAACTATGAGATTTAGGGTACATTGTATAATTTCATTCAAAAGAATAAAATATAAACTTTTATGCAAACAYTCCTTTAAGTTCTTACATTTTTTTTTATTATCTATTATTATGTATTATGAAGATTATTGTTTTCTATCTATCATCATAGTCAACATATAACTTTAAATATGCTTAGCTGAATTTGACTAACTTAAGCAATTAACAATCACAGTACATCTAAGTGCTAATAAGCACTATTAATATGTTTCATGTCTAAACATAGCTTAGTTATAATACTGGCTACTTTTTTTATGGAACATAATTCATAATATTAGTGGAAAAATAAAATAATGCTGGTTTAATGGTGTTCAAGACTTTTTCATAATAGGTATATTAAATACACTTTCAGTATATTTACAATAACATATAATACATGGCAATAATAATAATTAACTGATCGAACATAAAATAACAAAAATACTGTACTTTTGGCTCTGATTAGCTGATTGAGCTATCATTCTGTGTAAAAATTGATTATGTAAACATATTTCTTTGTTTGTGTTTTAATTCAAAATAGAAAATAATAATGGCACAGTAATATATCAATGATAGTGRCATACTTAGAAATGGATATATCTCCACAGTCTGCACAATTTTATTGTTTCACATTAGTAAAAAAAATAAACAATCAGTAATGTGAGAATTATCAGCATTTTATCGATAGAGTCATAATTTATAACTATTAACTATTTTTTCCTTGATTATTTATTAGTCAATATTAACAATGTTGTAAAATAAAAATTATGTTATTGCTTTTAAATTGCTCTTAATCAATTTTTTTTAATTTTTTTTAGTTTATGGTCATAGTTAATGGTTATATGAATTTTGGTTGATATTTTTCAGATATTAACCACAAGGGCCTATATCMGATATATTAGAATACATTTTTTTATGCTATAGCTTTGATTAAACAATATATATATATTTTTTTTTGTTTATAATTAAGTAATTGGCCAAACCATAAGCAACTTAATATTTTCATTGCTCTTATTTAATGCTTGATAATATTAAATAAATACATATTTTCATGATTTTAAAAATTTTGATTTTATATTTGTTGCCATAAATGAGTTATGAGAATAAGTGATTGCAGTAGTTGATGTGGCAATTTGTCTTGCAAGTCTATCTGCTATATCATTACCTTCAATCTCATTATGACTAGGAATCCAAATTAAATGTATTACATTTCCTTTTAATTGGTGTGCATGTATTAAGCACAGTATACTGTTAACTACATCAGATGCTGTATTTATGTTTTGAATACATGATATAGTACTTAATGAATCACTAAGAATTATATAATTTTTGAAATTTTCTGCTAAYGCATAATCAAGTGCTCTCAATATAGCTACTGCTTCAGCTTCACATGACGTATAATCAGATGATAGCTTATATGTGTATGTATCCTTACTAGATACAATGGCAATGCCAACATTATTTTGAATTTTCGATGCATCTGTATATATTCTAAAACTTTTAGGATAATTTTTTAATAATTTATTGAGACGAGCTTTATAAGTTGCTTGAGAGGTTGATCCTTTTGGTAGTTTGGTTAAACTAGTATCTATATTTGTTAAATTTGAAGGAATATTGGTTGTTGTATTATTTGTATAAAATGTTGATTGAGGTGTTAAATCAAACGTTATATCCATTAACGACGGTATTGATGTTGTACATTGATATTGTTGAAAAGAATTTAAATGTTGATTGTAATATATATTAGTATTCTGAGTTAAATTTAATTGTTGCAGAGAGTTAATAAATATATTTCTGGATTTAGAATATTGCTCTATTTTAAATTCATTATTGTACATTGTTTTTGCACAATTAGGTATAGCAGATGTATCACCGATTATCTTGAACCTCATGAATGGATCTACAGCTCTTATTATTAGATTACACATTTCGTTAATCTTTAAGAATGTTGAATAATAAAATAAATTATCCATGAGAAAAGTGGCGCTTGAAATTTCTATGGCTAATTTGATTTCATTCCAAATTAGTTCGGCTAAACTAAATATTTTGGAACCAATAAATGACGAATTATGATGCTAAAACAAATAATTCCAACAATGTTAAAATAGTAATACTAATGTAAATAACCAGTAAATTATTGAGACTAATTTTTTGTTGTACAGTCTTAATAAACAAAATGTATATAATATATTTCTATTCTAGACATTTTTCAKTGATAATTATTGTTATGGGCCATAGACCTTCTACTCGATAGACCGATCATCCGAAAACAAATATATTATCATAGAACAATATTATGATAGTCGCATGCCGACAGGGTCTGGTGATGCTGCCCGTTTGATAAATATATATATACATATAAATTTAACATATTCAGAGTAACTCAGTTATCGGAAGTGCCACCTATCTAGACACAATGGAAACATGAAGAGAGCTGGTCTGTTAGTAAAAGGTCTGTTATGTTATGGACTGATTTAATAACATTAATAATTTGAATAAATGTTTATCATCTATATTAAGTATTTTAATATTTTCTACTAACAACAATTGCTAACAAATCTCTGGGATAACATTTGGCACCTGCAAGATGCTACTTAACTGTAATAAGTAAATGTGACGGTATGGAATGTTGGAATAATCCAGAAGGGTTTCAAAACCTAGTGGTGCTATCCCTAATGTGAATATTTTTAAAGAGAGAGGTAACCTAGAATATGTTTTTAAGAGAAGTAAATTACTAGATGATAACAATGGTAATTAGTTGCAGAAATATGGTATTTAATATAAATTTTTTTTCGTTTTAATTTAAAAATATATTTATTACGTTTAAGATCATTCATCATTCAGTTTAACTTAACTGTCTTAACTTATAATAATAAGTAATAATGTGAAGAAAAAAAACTTACCATAACAAGATCACTAGCAGAAAATGTTGGCTCTCCGATTAGTGCTAAAAACTGTTCAACACCAGCTCTAAAATTATTTGTGAATAATATTGTATGTGAACAAATTTGAGCCATAATTTTCCGATTGTCTTTTTCATTATGTTTTGGAAGTAAATTATTAAGAAAAGGAATGGCATCTTCACCATTTTTACGGTTTTTTGTATCTTTTTTAAAATTTGAATCTGTATTAATTCCATCCTAATTATTTGAAAATAAAACAAAACAAATAATTAATTATTAAAATTAATTAATGGTTTTTATAAAATATTAATCTTAAATTTTCTTGGACACTTTTTGTTCAAAAATAAATAAATTTCACACATTGTCAAACATTTTAGTTCTATGTTACTTATATTTTATTGTACATGTTTAATATTATTATGTATTAACTTTAATGATACAAAAACTAGAAAATCCCATTTTTTAAATTGAAGGTAGGTACCTAATGTATTTTAAATAACAACCAATGGTTTTCAAAAAATTAAAATTATAATTGGAACTAAATTTATATTTTTATATAATAAGACCAGTGTCTGATCTGACAATCAGAGATGCCCATTCAAACTTGATATGACTGGTGGATATTTAGTTTAATGATTTTTTTTTTTTACTAACTAATGTTAATCTCAATTGTCTTTAAGTATTAATTAGGTCGTGTGGCAATTTTCGTTTGAGGCGGCGGATTGGGTTATCTATGAGTGAGAGAGAGGAAAGGTTAGGATGATTAATAGTATTTTAATGAAATTTCTTGAAGTGGTTTGACGCTATTTTGGAGACAGTTGGAATCTTTAGGTCATCATGAAGAGTGCGATTGCTGACATACCAGGGAGAATTATTTAAGAGTCGGAGATTGATGGATTGAAAACCTTGGAATTTATTTATGTTAGAGTTTTTAGAGGTTCCCCAAATTTGTATGCCAAGGTCATTGCAGGTCAAATGATTTGTTTATATATGAGAAGTTAATTATTTGGAGATAGATTAGATCGGAGGAGCTGTCTGAATTTAAGATTGAGGGAAGATCTTTTGTTTTTTATATAAGTTGCCAAGTTAGTATTTTTTCTAGGTGAAGTCCAAGGTATTTTACCGAGTTTTGTGTTTGAATTATTTAGTTATTTAGTTTTATTGGTTGACTGTTTTTAAGACCAAGGGTAAATATAATGAACATTGATTTTTATTCCCCATTAATGGAACCAGTATTGTAGAATTACTAGATGTTTTTGGAGGTGATTTGTGGCAGCTTGTAGAAATTTGTTAGAAGACAGAATAGCGGTATCGTCGGCAAAAGTGAGTTAGATTGTAGAGCTAGATGTAGCTAGATGAGTARAATCATCTGAGTGTGGTATGTCGGAGGTAAAAATATTATATAGCGTAGGAGCAAGAATGCTACCTTAGGGAACCCCAGCATTTATTGGGTGAGTTGACGAAAGTTCGTTTTCACAGCAAACTTGGAATGATCTGTTTAAGAGAAAGGATTTTATTGTAAGAAAACGAGTTTTGTATAGCAGATCCTTTTGCCAGACCCGATCAAACACTTCAGCCACATCTAGAAATAAGGCATTGCAGTGTGTTTGTTTTCTAAGGTARATGTGATATTATCAACGATTCAGTGTACTTGGTGCAGGGCAGAATGGTTGTTTCTAAAACCAAAATTGGGTATCGGGAATTGTTTTTTTCTCCTTATAATTTGGTTAATATCTTTTTAAGGAGAATTTTTTCAAGGATTCTTTTTAGGTAGGGAAGGAGACTAAATGGACGGTAGGAAGAAGGGAGATCAGGGGCTTTACCTGACTTATGGATTAATATTATGATTGATTTTTTTCCTGTAGACGGGATATATGACAGGTGCATGATGGAGTTAAATATGTGTGATAGGTGTATGATGGCTTTTTTTTAAAGGCGTTTGATGATTMTATTAGTTATTAAATCATGACCAGGAGATTTTTTGTTGGCAATATTTTTTATAATATACTGAATTTCAGAGSGAGAGGTATGTTTTGTAGGTAGAGACATAGGGAGGGTTTGAAATAAAGATGATTTGACATGGGTTGAGTGGTCTGAATCAAGTATGTCTGGGTGGGGAGTAAATCTAGATTCTAGGTCAGAGGCAAATAAATTAGCTTTCTTAATGTGCGAAATTGCTAAAGTATTGTCAGGGTAACGTAGAGGAGGAGAAATATTTTTTTGTTTAAGTAAATATTTTGTAACTTTCCATAAAGAATTGTTAGTTGTTGAAAGGGAATTAATATAATTTTGATAATTGCCCGATTTAAATTTTCGAAGTGTATTTTTAAGAACAGAGGCAAGGTAATTGTAAGTTTTTTTATCACTAGGTAGGTGCGATCTCTGCCATCTAGAGCGGGCGTGACGTTTGGAGATAATTAGTTGGTAGATATGTTGGGRAAGTTGGGAAGTGGATTTTTGTATAGTTGAATTAAGTGCAGCTTTTTGAATATTTTATGTAAAAGATAGAATAGCCGAGTGTATGTCCAGGGTTGTTATCAGAGGTATATTAAGCGTGATTTTATTTTCTAATAAGGCCTGAAAGTTGGACCATATGCTATTCCCTGAAGTAAGAGTAGGATAAGATTTAGTTTTGACTGAGGAGTCATTTAGTATTAGAATGATAGGTGAGTTATCTGAGGAAAGGTGAGCTGAGTTATTAATGGTAGCGAATAAGTGATTTGGCAGAGTAGAAATAAAGAAGTCGAGAATGTCAGATTGTCTGTTGTGATGTGAGGGTCAGTAAGTTGGGTATTGTGGTGAAATAATTTTCATAGCTTTATTTACAATGAGGTTGTTCAGTGCACGACCCCTAATGTTAGTTGTTTTAAAATCCCTTGGTGGATGTTTAGAGTTAAAATCACCGCCGCCGGCAATGAAGTTATTGCCAAAGGACGAAAAGTATTTGTTGTCTATAAGTCAGCTGCATTTATTTTTGAACGGGGTGGGTAGTAAATAGATGAGATGGTAGTTGGAATATTATTTAGAGTTAATCTTATGTTTGTGGCTTGGAAGCTATCAGTTTAGTAAGGAGGAAGGGAAGTATGTTTTGTGTTATTTTTAATTAGTATTGCAGAGCCTACATGTGCAGTTCCATTAGGATGACTWTATTGGTATAATGTATACCCAGAAATGTTACAATGTGAATTTTTGGTTAAATGGGCTTGCTTATGAGGAGTAAGTGTATAGGATTTTTACTTATATATGCTTCAAGTTCTAGTTTTTAATGGATAAGTCCATTAGTGTTCCAAAGGATTGATATTGGATGATGAATGTTATGTGATCTATGTGTCATTAGATTTTATGAGTATGCTTATGAAAGTGGTTAAAAGCAAGATTAAGGGATTTATTAAGGACTTGTCATCGAGGAAGGAAGACAGTTTAATTGAAATTAGATCTGGGTCGGAAGGGAATAGAGGAGTAATTGTTTGAGTTTGTTGTCTGGACATAAGACTAAGGTATTTGAGAATTTAGATTTGTGTTTGAAGTAGTGTCCCGTTTTACATCGTTTATGGGGTACATTTTTACGGTTATCATAAGTTTTTTTTTGATTGAAGCGACGATTAAAATTTTGATATTACAGCCATAAAAAAAAATTTCATGAAAACAGAATGTAAAATATGTGATTAGTTATATTTAATATTAATTCTGCCTCGTTATTTAAGTTTACTAATAATATCCAATACTATTTACCAAATAATGTATGTAGCATTTTTRACTTCAGTATAAAAGTATAGCAGAAAACTATTAGTCATTTTGACATTTTATTTAACTAAAAAATATAGTTATGCAAAATTAGAAAAAATAGTACATTGGAATGTAAGCATGATTAAAATTAAATGCACATTGCACAATTGTTATTACAATGTTAAGTGTTGACTGCCACAATAACAAAAAATGCTTATAATAAATAATTGAGTTTAATATTTGATATTATTATTAYTAAATTACATAGATTAAGAAAGAACAAATCATTTTTTCCTTCTTTAGAAATTATTTAATATAAATAATATCTGTTTAAAAATCAAAATAATAGACAGTTTTTTTAAAATTGTCAAAACATACAACTTCTATGATACAAGATATGCATTTTTGATTTTCAAATTCTATAATATTGATCTGCTATAAATTGAGAGCATAGTATAAAATAATATATAACTTTTGAGCCCTAGCTATTACAGTAACATACTATAATGTGGTATGGTAATTAGCAAACAAAAGTAACACACAGAACCAGATATCATACGACAATTCAATGTAATGAGCCTAACAATGTTTATTGTAGTCTGGAACACTATATCTATATACATTATCTGGTAGACAGTATTGGATATTTTTTATAAATTAAACTTAAACATTAAACCAGAATAAATATAATAAACATATATAATATGATATAAATATAATAAATAATATATTTAACAATCTTTTCATACTTATTATTCATATGGTTTAATGTGACTGCCTGCAAATACTGCATGGAGACACCCGACACCATTGGTACATTTTTATATCATCAAGTATCAAAACCAAGCATAAAATAAAAGTGTTTTTTTTTTGTGTGTCTGTCATCA